TCAACTGAAAACAACACTCTAGCTTTCCTTTGCTGCTTCACTGCTACTCAAACGTAACTGTGGTGGGTTTTCGAATAACTAAAAACATAAACATACCTAGATTCACACGATGGAATACTACACAGGGATGAGAAATGAGCTGGACCTTAAGTTTCTAAGTACAACTCTGCACTGAAAGGAAACAGGAATCCTCAGAAAAACGACTTCGGGCTGGGGCTAGAAAAGCACAGGATGAGCCTGGAACGTCTCGCTGTGGCAGGACGTCTGGAGGGGCTCAGGGTGTGCTGGCAACGTGTCAGAAGGCCACCGAAGCTGGCTGCACACGTACCCCTCTGGCCAAAGCTAAGATGAGGCATCAAAATAATAACCATGGTGAAAAAGACTGTAACTTCACTGAATAAAATAAGATCCGCGAGTTCCACTGATTAGTATAAATAAAGGAGAAAGGAAGGCTCCTCATTCCAGAAGGTAGAAGGAATAACAACGAGAAAAAACACCATTTGGCCACCACCACAGTAATTACTGGTTTCACACATGACTCCTCAGGGCAGGCTAAAGCTAGTGGGTAAAGCTGATGAGCAGAACGTGACTTACAGAGTCTTAAATTATGCAGATTACTCTCTTATCAATTATTATTATTTCCAATGAGGGGCAGGATATAACTTTACAGCAGGGAGCCCTGGCAAGCACTACCTTAACCAAGTGACCAGAGTTAGCATCTGAAGTTCACACGTCCCTCCTGATAGGACGTGTCAGGAGGGCTCCGCTCACTGCTGTGGGGTGACTCCTGTGCATCGGGACAACTGGAAGCTAACTGCGATGAAACACACACCCAAACCCCTACAGTGCGCCGTCCAACAGAACTTCCTGCAAGGACGGAGGCACTCTCCCGCTGCACTGCCCCATGCGGTGGCCACTACCCACGTCGGACTACTGAGCACCTGAAATGTGGCCAGTGCAACTGAGGGACTGAGTCTTTCCTTTCACTTCACTGTAATCAGTGGAAGTTTAAAT